AAAGTTGTGATCTTGAGTTTGTTTTTTTTTCTTTATATTTAAATTTCATATTGTTAAATTTATAGAGTTCACGAATATGTTAAACGGCAAATAAAATTGAAAAAAGTAACTGACAGCGTCAATCGTGAACGAGTAAAATCATTATTACGTACAATTTTATGGCGTAAAAAGTTTAGAGCATTAAAGAACAAACAATCTGAAATGATAATCGGAGATGATTCAGGTAAAATAATATATATATATATTACGTTATAAATGAATTATTATTAACAACTAATATTTGCAAAATTTCAGTGCCACGTATTACTGTTAATGATGATCCTAACGCACAAGTGCCGACGTTAAGAATAGATACAATGAATACGAGTCAACAACATATGTCAATTCCTTCTCCTTCAGAACAGCTTTCGACTTCTCGTGAAACTTTAAATATAGATTCACCAGAAATTCGACGTTCAGATTCATATGGTTTTAGAACACGTTCATTTGATCACTCATCAGGAGAATTTTCAATGTCATCCGGAGAAGAATTTTTATTAACTAATAATAATAATGTTTGGAGTGATATTGATGCTAATACTGAGATGGATGAACAAACTGCAGAACAAATCCTAACAAGTCTTCAAAGTAATTATTGGCATGGTGCGTATTCTTTTATTTTTTTTTTGATAGATTGTACTTGTGTAAATTTAATACCTTCTTCATGTATACATTAAATAATAATGAAATTGTCTTTTTTATAAAAACTATAGATACTCTGCGAGAAATGTCACACGGAAATTCATCTAGAAATCAATAATTCATAGAATTATTATTATTTATTAGTATAATGATTACACGAACTTTTTGCATGCGTTCGTGCAAATTTTTGTTCGAAAAATCTAATATATAGATTTAAATAATTATTTGGGTAGCTGGTAACTTAGAAGGGTATTGGTTTTTTTTTTACATCTAAAAAAATATCTATTATTTAATTATAAAAGTTAAAATTTATTTGTACTGTACCATTTTTAATAATTTGTATTTTATTAAGTTGAATAAAGTTTAGCAAAATTCATTTGAACATATTATATTCCGTATGGGCTCAAACATAGTTTGATGTGGTCGGATTTGTATTACCGGGTATTTTATTAATTTGGTAATATCGATTTTCAAATT